TAAAAGCATAAAAGCGCCTGAGTAAAAGCATAAAAGCCTGAGTAAAAGCAGATTCCTGAGTAAAAGCGCCAGTCAAAAGCTATACAGTTCCTTGCTCGTGATTACAAAGTCATCTGAGTTACTTTACCTGAGTTACTTTTAGTTTACTAAGGTTTAGATTTGTTCTATTTAAAGATGGTTTTGCATCGTTTGCAAACAGAATGTAAAAGTTTAGTTTCCTAGTTTCAAATTGTTCTCTCAGAAACAATGATCTGAAGAACAGCAGAGTGTGAGCGAAGCCAGGAACTATTCTTGTAAGCCAACATTCTCATAAGCCTAAGTTTTAATAAAAGTATTTTGAGTAATTTAAATTTTGAGTAATATCATTATGTTTATATGCTCAATATTTGTTTACATATATATATATATATATATATTATACAAGCATTGCTTACAACATGCATTTTTATTTATTTAAAATTTTATAGATTGTTGGATGAGTTCCTTGGCATTTAGGGATCATATCACGAATGGGTTACTTTGAATTGCATTGATGCATTTTCATGTAGAAGGAAATAACAAGGTCTGAAACTCTTTTAGACTATTTTAGTTGCAAGGGGCTATATCTGAATGACTCTTCTTTAAATTGCTAATTATATTATCTACTAATTATTTGATAGAAATTCTATAATCCATTACCAGGTTTTGGGAGGCATTTTGCGCTCTAAAAAGACTCCTGTTGAATGGTCTGAAGTCAAAGACAACAGAATATGGGACTTACCAAAGGCAGAAGATAGAATCATGTCAGTCTTGAAGTTGAGTTTCGATAATTTGGAATCACCAGCACTGAAGCAATGTTTTTCATATTGCTCAGCATTCATGAAAGATGCCGAGATGAAAAGAGATGACTTGATTCAACTTTGGATGGCTCAAGGATTCCTCCATCCTTCTCCCGAAAAAAGTAATCTAGAGATGGAGGATATAGGTAATGAATATTTTGATATTCTATTCCAAAGCTCCTTATTTCAAGATGCTAGATTGGGTGATGATGGCATTGTTATTAAATGCAAGATGCACGATCTCATACATGATCTTGCAGAACGTGTATCCGAATCTGGAAGCATGATGCGAGACTTCCACAAGAATGAAGATGTTGCAACTCCCATTATAGAAAGAATACCAGAAGGAAGTAGTGGGAAATTGAGATCACTGTTTTCGAATGCGGAAGCACTACCTAGAAACATGTTGCCATGGTTTAAAGCTTTACGTGTCTTGAAATTGTATGGGGCATATATTAAGAAGCTTCCAAGTTCAATCGAAGAGCTGAAACACTTGAGATATCTTGACATTTCCTTTACAAAAATCAAGAGACTTCCAAATTCTATTGGCAAGCTATATAACCTACAGACATTAAGAGCAACAAACCGCCGTTTAAAAAATTTCCAAAAGATGTGCAAAACTTGATCAACTTGAGATATGTTTATTGTCACAAGGAAACAAAATTTCCAGCTGGGGTATTAGGGAGATTAACTAGCCTTCGAAAATTACCTTACTCTTGTGCGGTGATGGGTAGGGAAATTGAGGAGCTGGCTGCCTTGAATCAATTGAAGGGTAAATTGATTATTCGTAAATTGGAACATGTAAGGAATGAAGATGAGGCAAGGAAAGCTAAATTAAAGGAGAATAAAAACATACGCCACCTGTTATTTAAATGGAAGAAAAACAGGTCAATAACCAACAGTAATAATGAAGAGGATGTGCTAGAAGGCCTCCAGCTGCATTCTGATTTGGAAAGGCTAGAGATTCGAAATTTCATGGGTACTAAATTTCCATCATGGATGATTAAGCTTGACAATTTAAAGGAGATTAAGCTTAGGGGGTGCAACAGATGTAAAAAACTCCCAACACTTGGCCATCTACCTCATCTTACAGTTGTTTGGATCGAAGGAATGGATAATCTAAAATGTGTTGGAGAAGAGATTTATGGAAATGGCGTATTTCCAGCACTGAAAGAATTACACATTCATAATTGCAAGGAGCTAATTGAATGGATGGAAGCACCAGAACAAGTCATGGTGTTTCCTTGCCTGGAGAAGCTGGAGATGTGGGAATGTCCCAAATTGAGAAAGGCTCCCAGTCATCTTCCATCTTTGAAGGAGTTGAAGATACAAGGTAATAAGGAGATAGAACATATGGAGATAAGATATTGTGAGAAGTTAACTTGTATTGCCCCCTATATCTTTGGTTGTTGCGCATCTCTTCGAAAGTTGGCTGTATGTAGTTGCCCTAGTCTACAATCTATTCCAAATTTGCACAGTGTTTATACCAAAATGAATAGCCAATGAACATTGGACTCGTGGACCAAGCTGGAGCTACGGGAGCCTTCGGCATCTAGCTTCGGCACCGTATCTACCGATCGCTCTATTAGGGCAACCTTACCTCCTGGGACACGTGGCAGTCCCACAATCGATGTCCACAGTCCCACATCGAAACTGAGCAAAATGCACACCTCTCAAGGCCTATGAAAGAGGACAACTATCCCAGCTTGGAGGTAATCAATCAGAACTCACGGCATACTGCCTATTGATCTGTAGTTCAAACTTACCAAATTCGTACTTACTTAAGCATCGGAGAGCCTTCGGCCGGTACCACACCGGTGCCCTGGGACTTACCGAGCGTTTACTATCTTACAGGTATAACGCCCTACCGAGGCCATAGCATACCGAAGGAAAAACATATCACTAAGTTGCGCGGGAAAAGTACAGAACCATTTTTCTGCGTCAACAGTTTGGCGCCGTCTGTGGGAAACGAGAACAATCAACCTACAATTCCTAAAAAACATATGGGAACCACTTCAGGACCCCAGTTCCTATCGAAGGATGGATTACCGTATGGTATGCCAAGTGGAACAAGCCCCGCGCTGTACCCTAGCACCCCCTTCGGTAATCCTCCAGTGCTTCAGACCACGGTCGAAGCGGAGCTTCTGGCTCAAATGACCTCCCTTCGGAGGGAAATGGCTAACAATCTCCTCTCGTCCAAAGTAGACGAAACACAACGGTTGCTTAACCAGCAGGAAACACAGAGCATTCAGGCTATCGAGTCTTCCCAGAGTCTGCAGACCCCCGGTCGGCAGAAGAAGGGGAAGAGGGGGGCAAAGGCAACGCCTGCGCCTTCCAAACAGTTGGTGGTCCTAGCTCCACAGGACCAACCTCACGTGCCGAAGAAGGTGTACACCGATTGTCGTCATCGGATCAACGACAAGAAGGATGCCGAACGGCATAGGTCCCCAATCAGGGTTAATGCCCGGCTACGGGACTCGCGGATGAAGGTCCTAGGAGATAAATCGCCCCTTAGGAAGGTCCAGGGTTTGGATTCGGGAATGGAATCTGACGATGAGTACGTCCCCACCAAGGGCACCGAATCAAACTACCATTCGGAAACTCCCCCGGAGTATTCGAAGGCATGACCACCAAGTCCGAGGAGAACTTCCGAAGACTTCAGTTCCGAGGAGGTCCCAAGCCGAGACCCCGCTATCCGTCTGCTTTTCCAGAGAATCCAGAAGATGGAAGATGACCAAACCCGGTCCCAGGTTCCTGAGGGGGAAAACTTCGGCCAGGGCCCTTCACCGAGTGCATCAAGAAGTCCAGACAGGACAGAGAGGTGCAGCCGTAGCGTATACCATTTTATACCGGCGTGGAGGACCCTTTGACGCACCTTTACTCCTTCCAATCGGCAGCTGGGTGCAAGGGCCTCAGCGACGAGGGGCAATGCCTGCTGTTCCCATCATCCCTTACCGAAGCCGCCCTGAACTGGTTATACCGTCTTGAGCCAGGGACGGTAGACTCTTTTGACGAACTCAAGCAGATTTTCCTCAATCACTTCATAATCCAGACAGACCGCTTGTACTTTGCCGATGATCTGTACACGATTCGGCAGAGAGAAGACGAACCCTTATGGGAGTATGCAGTGCGCTTCAGTCACGAATACTCGAGGTGTCCCGAAACAGACGATAGGGCAGCCTACGGCGCCTTCAAGAGTGGCCTTCGGTCCTCTCATTTCCGATACCTCGTGCACAGTAGTAACTGGCGCACATATGACGAGTTGATGAAGCAGGCGGCAGTTCATGCGAAGGCCGAATATTTCAACTCCAAACCCGGGCCTTCGGCTCAGAAGGAGGAGTCAAAAACCAAGAGTTATCTAGGGCGACCTGACGATTCTTCGACAGGGCACAAACGGAAAGATGACCGCGATAGTCGTCAGGGAAAATCGAAGAAAGGGCGCGGGAAATACGGTCGTAACGACAACCGTGCGCCGCTACCGAATCACGATTGTGCCCAGGAAGTCTTCACCCTCCTGAACACAACATACGAGACCGTTCTGATGAACGAGCATGACCAAATCCCGAAGCCAACGAACCGAAAGCCCAATCAGCAGGATAATCGAGACACTGACAAATTCTGCCGATACCACCAGCAGAACAGCCACAACACCGAAGACTGCATCAGTCTGAGGAAGATCGTTGAGCGTCTGATTCGGGAAGGAAAGCTGGATCGTTACATCGCCAGGCCACCACAGGCACCAGCACCGAACGCGAATCAGCAGATCAACATGATCAGCACCATCAGCGGAGGCCCCACTCTGGCGGGACCCTCCAACCGTTCAATGAAACAGTACGTGCGTGCCGCTCACTACCCCTAGGTCTTCGGTATAGAGGACGATCGGTGCCGCAAGGTGCCGAAGGTGGGGTGGGAGCCCATCACATTCTGTGAAGAAGAAGAGGAAGGGATCATTTACCCCCACGATGACCCAATGATCATTCGGGCCGAGATCGCCGACTACGATGTAGGTCGGGTGCTAATCGACACCGGGAGTTCGGTGAACGTGCGTTCAAGGGACTGGGAATTGCCGACAACATGGTCAATCGGCAAATAACGCCCCTCCTCAGTTTTTCACGGGATCTGGTCCAGCCAGTCTGCAGTATCAGTCTGCCCATCGCCTTCGGCGTCGCCCCCAGGAAAACAATGACCTACGACCAATTCCTCATTGTCGACTGCCCAACGGCGTACAATGTCATCGTTGGGCGAACGACACTCACCAGGGTCAAAGCCCACTTATCCCCCCACGTGTTGCTGATGAAGTTCCTTACACGCAACGGTACGGGGGTCATCCGGGGTGACCAGCTCAGCGCCCGGACGCGCCATCCTAAGTCGGTAGCTTGTAAGCCGCCAATGGAAGCCATGATCGTGCAGGGACTACCGAATGGTAACGGGCCCATAGATGACCCCAGGGAGGAAACGCCAACGCCGGTGGCACAGCCTACCGAAGAGCTCGAAACCGTGGTCCTAAACGAGGATTTACCCGATCGGTGGGTAAAAATCGGCACCAACCTAGATCCCGACCTCCGAAGACAGTTCATCGACTTCTTATGGCAACAGGTGGAGGTCTTCGCCTGGTTTTATGACGATATGCCTGGCATATTACCTGACATCATCAGCCACAAGCTCAGCATCTCCACCGCCCACAAACCGGTCAGACAGAAGCGCCGCTCATACGATGCCGAACGGTACGAGGCGATGCGTGCCGAAGTTGACAAGCTCAAAGCCATCGGCTTTATCAGGGAAGCTACGTACCCTGTCTGGCTTGCCAACTCAGTCATGGTTCGGAAGGCCAAGGGAGGATGGCGGATGTGTCAGGACTATACCGACCTGAATAAGGCTTGTCCAAAGGACAGTTTCCCCTTGCCGAGAATCGACCAGCTCGTCGACGCTACCGCTGGACACGAGCTGCTCAGCTTCATGGACTCCTATTCAGGATACAACTAGATCTTTATGGACCCTGTCGATAGAGAACATACGGCATTCATCACCGACCGCGGTTTGTACTGTTATAGCGTCATGCCCTTCGGCCTGAAAAACGCGGGAGCAACTTATCAACGGCTCGTCAACCGGATTTTTACTAAGCACATCGGCAACATTATGGAGGTATATGTCGACGACATGTTGGTGAAAAGCCGAACGGCAGGGGGGCATCTGGAAAACCTAGCCCTCATGTTCGGCATACTAAAGGACTACCGAATGAGGCTGAACCTAATGAAGTGCGCCTTCGGTGTATCTTCCGATAAATTTCTCGGATTTATGATCAGCCAAAGGGGAATCGAGGCTAATCCCGAGAAAATCAAAGCCATAATCGACATGGAAACGCCGAAGACACAGAAGGACATTCAAAGCCTTACCGGACGTGTCGCTGCCCTAACACGCTTCATCTCCAAGGCCACCGACAAGTGCGTGCCGTTCTTCAAAGCTTTGAAAGGGGGCAAACATTATATCGCATGGACTCCCGAATGCGACCAGGCATTTCAAAACTTGAAGAACTACATGAGCCAGAAACCGCTATTATCGAAACCGCTCCCAGGGGAAGTACTCCTCCTATACCTTTCGGTATCCAACACTGCCGTTAGCTCAGTATTGATACGGAAGCCAGAGAAGGCAGAGCTACCAATTTTCTATGTCAGCAAGGCACTCCAGAGCTCAGAGCTTCGGTACCTACCCTTAGAGCAGTTAGCACTGGCCCTGGTCGTCTCGGCGCGAAGGCTTCGCCCATACTTTCAGGCGCACGAGATCACTGTTCTGACAAACCAACCCCTTCGGCAGGTACTCCAAAAGCCAAAAACGTCGGGCCGATTGGTCAAATGGGCAATCGAGTTGGGCGAATTTGACATACAATTCAAGCCAAGGCCTGCAGAAAAAGGTCAAGCCGTCGTCGATTTCATCTTCGAGCTCACACCTCCTGCACTATCGGAAACATCCTGTCCGAACGCTATCCTTATTGCACTGGAGAAAATGAACGCCGAGCGCTTTGACACCTCCGTCCCTCTCTGGATTCTGCACGTGGATGGCTCGGCAAACCAGCAAGGCTGTGGTGCCGGCTTGGTGTTAACCACTTCGGACGGTGACAAAGTCGAGTATGCCCTCCGATTCAACTTCCGGACCTCTAATAACGAGGCAGAGTATGAGCCTCTCTTGGCTGGCCTTCGACTAGCCAAGAGCATGAGCTCGAGACAGATCAGCATTCACAGTGACTCCCAGCTCATCGTGAATCAGATAACGGCAGACTTCGCAGCAAAGGACGCCTCTATGTCAGCCTACCTATCGGCAGCTCACCAACTTCTGCAGGAATTTTAGGCCTACGAGATACGGCAGATCCCCAGGTCAGAAAACAGCCACGCCGATGCGCTCTCGCATTTAGCTTCGGCAATAAATGACAAAATCGGGAGAATGGTACTGGTGGAGATATTATCCCAACCAAGCACAACAACTGTTGAGGTATGTACCGTATGGTACGAAGACACATGGATGTCTCCGATCTATGCTTTCCTGACAAGCGAAACCCTTTCTACTGATAAGTCCCAAGCTCGGAAGCTCCGTTACCGATTGGCAAGATACACAGTCATCAACGATGTTCTGTACAAGCGAGGCTAGACCACGCCGTATCTAAAATGCTTGACCAAAGAGTAGGGGGACTACATCCTTCGGGAGGTCTACATCGGAGTCTGCGGTGACCATTCGGGGTCCCGATCGCTCGCACACAAAGTCTTCCGACAGGGATACTTCTGGCCGACTTTGCACCAAGATGCGAGCATGTTGGTCAAGAAGTGTGACAAATGCCAACGATTCGGTAGCATCCCTCACATTCCTGCCGAGCCACTCTCACCGATTGTAAGCTCGTGGCCATTCGCCCAATGGAGGTTGGACAAAATGGCCTAGGCAGTCCTCCTCTCTTCGGTCACTGCAACGTAAAAATCTGTCAGATATCTCATTTACGGCAATCGACTATATCGAAATGGGCAAGTATACTTACTCTCGGCAGGGTTGACAAGTTGAGCTTTGATGAGATTGGGGGTGAAGAGAAACGCTGGATAAACCTCTCCACGGCAGGGACCTTCAGCCTCACCCTCTCGATCTGCCGGATCTCCGCTTGTGTAGCGCTCGGCTGCTTCAATTTACCTGCACAAAAAGGGAAACGAAATTAACTTTTCCCAAGGAAGACACACTCTAGAAGTCCTACCGAACGGTAGGATGGCCTATCGGCAATTTGGAACGTGGTGGGAATGTGAAAACGGACGGGATGTCCCGAGGGCGACTCCCAGTCACCGGACAAAAGCACTCGTCGTTTCCTCCACATTTTCTGGGAGGTTGGCACGGCGTTGACAAAATGGCCGCGCTCGGTAGCCTTCAGGCAGTTAGCCTGAACCCAACCCCCGTGATCGGCAGACTTCGACTTCGTAACGCTATACAGGTGAGAGAACTGCTCGTACGAAGGCTCTCCCTCGCCAGCCATGTCGAAGGTTGTGACCACACCCATTAGCGCTACCCAGAAGTTGGGGTTGAACTGGCTGGGAGCATAGCCTATCTGCGCCAGAATCCTTTGAACGGCGGGCTGCAGAGAGAGCCTCACTCCTTGCAGAAGTACGTCCGTGAAGAAAACGACTTCGCCCTTCTTTGGGCTGCTTAGAGATTCGGTAGGATTTGGGATCCTCATCCATACCGAATCTGGTATGAGGTAATCAGCGCGGAACCTCGGGATCTCCCTCTCGGTGATCCTATTGGGCTCTAAGTAGTCTACGCCGAAGACGATCTCCTTCAAAATCCCCATCGGCACCCTGGGATTGCTGGGGAAGACTACCGAAACCCTCAGCCAAATGGACGGTTCGGCAGGTGACTCTCCACGGCCGGAAGTGGAGGCCTCTGACTGGCGACTAGCGCTCGCCTCCCCTGGCAGGGCTTGACTAACGTGGCGACCGTCGCTATAAACAATAGCCAACGGCACCGGAGCAGTCATCAACCCCTTTCCGATACCATGTGCAGGAACGGAGCTGGGCTCTTCATCGAGTATCTCGACATCGGTATCACTTCCGTCCCTGGCATCGGCCCCTGCCGCTTCACCGTCAGAGTGAAAGAGACTATCTGATGACCCTTCATCGAACGCATTGGGCTCGCGTTCGAAGAATGACTCGCTATCAGACATCTACAAAAATAGGGAAAAAGGAAACTAAGGCTCCTGTCGGATGCTATCCTACCGTCCCTACACTCCTACCTATGGCGACTAGACTACCGAATGGAACCCTATGGTCAGTCTAGTTCAAACCAAGGAAGGAAGTAACTCTCAAGATAAACAAGGGAGTATGTCGAAGTTACCGAACGGTACCTTAGATCGAGTTCTGGATAGGAAACACGAACTGCGCTTCCGATTGTCTAGTCGGAAATCGCTTTTCTTGCCGATCATCTCGTCAGAAATTGCCTGGCTACCGTAAGCCCTTGACAGAAATTGCCTTGAATGCCGGAAGCTCTCGTCGAAAATCGCCTCAAATAGAGCTCTCGTTTCTCACAAAGTGCGAAGTGATTTCGCCTCCGGGGTCATCCCTATTTATAGAGAGAGAAGTCACAACGGTACACCTCGAAAAATCAAACGGCGCATTAATGCGCCGCGCGCCATGATTACTCTCGCCACGTGTCGCTCATCCTATGGGGGACTGACGGCACGCGAGGCACGGAAGACGAGGCGCTCTGACGTCCTTTCACCCGTCCGCTCGACGCGACCTTCCGACTTCCCCGACGTCAGCCTCCGAGTGAACAAAGACGAAAGAGCCAAAATTGAGTCCCTCCACCGGCTGGATTACCGAACGGTAGGGCAACGTTCCCTTCCGAGGACAACTTCAAATCCCCTTCCGAGAACTCTCGCAGGAGGACTTGGGGGACTCCTGTTTATACCAAAATGAATAGCCAATGAACATCGGACACGTAGACCAAGCTGGAGCTACGGGAGCCTTTGGGATCTAGCTTTGACACCGTATCTACCGATCGCTCTATTAGGGAAACCTTACCTCCTGGGACACGTGGCAGTCCCACAATCGATGTCCACAGTCCCACATCGAAACTGAGCAAAATGCACACCTCCCAAGGCCTATAAAAGAGGACAACTATCCCAGCTTGGAGGTAATCAATCAGAACTCATGGCATATTGCCTATTGATCTGTAGTTCAAACTTACCAAATCCGTACTTACTTAAGCATCGGAGAGCCTTCGGCCGGTACCACACCGGTGCCCTAGGACTTACCGAGCGTTTACTGTCTTACAGGTATAACGCCCTACCGAGGCCATAGCATACCGAAGGAAAAACATATCACTAAGTTGCGCGGGAAAAGTACAGAACCATTTTTCTGCGTCAACACACAACTTCACATCCCTCTGTGAATTGATTATTGAAAATTGTGAGAGATTAGAAAGTTTGGTGAGCAGTGGGCCAGTCAATGTTGTAGAGTTGCTAACTATAACAGGTTGTAGTGGTCTACAATCTATTCCAGATTTAAACCTCTTCACATCGCTCCGTGAATTGACCATTAGATCTTGTCAGAGATTAGAAAGTTTGGTAAGCAGTGTGCCCGTCTCTGTTGTGGAGTTGATAATAACAAATGCCCCTAATTTAGAGACTCTTCCAAGTTTAGACAACCTCACATCTCTCTCTCAGTTGGTGATTGTTAATTGTGGGAAATTAAAATATCTGCCCACAGGGCTACACTGCTGCGCTAGTTTGAAGAGATTGGAACTTGGTGAGTTATGGGAGGAGCTCGATTCGTTTCCTGATTTCCATCTTCTTGGAACATCACAACTTCAAACATTATTGTTGACCGGGTGGCCCAAGCTCAAGTCTCTGCCTCACCAAATTCAACACTTCACCTCTCTAACATATTTGTCGATAGAGTGTTTCGATGGAGTGGAGGCTCTTGAGGATTGGTTGGGTAACCTTACATCCCTTACGACGCTAACAATTTCTTTTTGCAAGAATCTCATGAATCTACCTAGTGTCAGAGCTATGCAACGCCTCACCAAATTAAAAACTCTAAGAATTTGCGGATGTCTCCTTCTGCAGCGAAGATGCACTGAGGACAGTGGCCCAGAGTGGCCCAAGATTTCTCACATCCCAGATATCTACAGTAATTTCTTTTTTCCTGAAATCAAAATTCCTTTTCATTCTTCACCTTGCGGTTTAACTAGAGTTTATTCATTCTGAATAATTTCTCCATTTTTTTGTCAGTTGATGGCCAGCTAGTATACATATCGCCTCTATACTCACCATGTTTTCGTAATAGCTCCCACTTTGACAGTGAAGAAATGTAAGGTTTTCGAACTCCCACTTCCACTTGTCTTCTAATGGGTCCGTCTCTTATTTCGAATATAATCTTCTCTTTTATGGGGAAAGACTTGAAAGGAAGGCGTAAGATGTTTTTTAATTGCTGATTTTATAAAGAATTGCGGAAAATATCAAGTAAAAAAGATTTTAGTAATTTCTCTTAGCTGCATCCAGACTTATCTTAAACTCATGCTTTCAATCTTAATTATATTAGCATAGTTTATCGCCGCGAGTACCTAGAGAGGTTTTTGGCTGCTTAATTTTTGATAATATTGCTGCTATTGTTTCAGTAGAAACTAAATTTATTTTTATTTGTGAAATATTACCAATGAGTTGATCTTAAGTTGTTTAACTTCTGCTTTGACACAGATGTTGGTCTTTCGTCTACAAGTTTCAGTAATTTATGTTGTTCAGGAGATTATCTGCATTCACTTTTTACCTTTGTTTTAGGTCTTTTAATCAGCATTGGTTGTCTGATTGAGTCTCACCACTTGTCACCACCTGTGGATTCTTTATCACCGCTTGTTTAGAGGTAATGTGTCTAGTCTGAGTAAATATTCTTGTGCATTGTTAATTTCAGTATTTCTGTTATATGAAGTTGATAAGGGTGAGCATTTTTGCTTTTTCTTTTCAGGGCCTGAGGGGCCATCTCTGTTGCTCCATGTAATTGATGCAAACATGCAGGACTTCCACATTTTTTAGCATATTCATCATCTCCAAGGTCAAAAAATGAAGTGGAGCGGAGTTCCTTTTTTTAGCATAACCGTTGACAAATATTTACGTCTTAAGCATTAGTTTCAGTACCAACATTGTTCCGACATACCCTGTTCTCTAATGCCAGGATGTGCGTATAACCTTTGTTGGTTGGCATGTCAACCCATTTCTTGTCTGTAATTGATATAACCTTTTGTTGCAATTTATAGATGATAGTTGCAAGCTTTGTACTATGATATGTTGAAAGTTGGAATTTCTTCTATATATTTTTTCCTAAGTTGTTTTGGTGTTATATTTGACCTGTAGGCAGAGTTGGGATTCAGGTAGAAACTCATGTCTGCATCATGCCATACACTGTGTGGCCCAAATCTAGTACTTTTCAACTGTTGCGATCTGGAATCAAGTACTTTTTGCATGAAGAAATGTTAATGTTCTTTTTTTCTTTTTCTAGAATTGAAAGTGGTATTTTTGTTTTTGTTTCTGTTTTTGCTTTTGGGGTTTCGAAGCGAGCTGATAGAGTGAGAAGGGCATGGATGAGAAAGTGGTATTATCATGCATTGCAATAAAATACTCAACTGATCGGTTTGTTTGGTTTGTAAAAGGCAAAGACTTTCTTGGGTTTATAGAAGAACAGGGGAGGACAATTCAGCTCTTGCATGATGTTTATACCTGTATGTTTTATTATATATAGTTGTAAAGCAAATATAGGTGTTCATGGTGTACGTAGACAAGCAATGCTTCTTGGTATGTGGTCTACGTTGAAGCAATTCTAATATTTTCTGTCAAACATAGCGCTTTGCTTATCTTATGCGGTCTCAATTTCAGTACTCTGCTGATCCATTTTCATTTTACATACTTATGAGCAAATCTAGTGCCGTCCTTAACCAGTATTTGCAATTGCATTACCGGGTCAGCTTTCAATCCTATATATTGACACACTAATGACATTGGTTGGTTTTGAGAATAGAAGGGGAAAGAGAGATGCACCAGAGTCCTTATTAGCAGATGATGCTCCGCAATCCTCATGTGGTTTTAATTCGTATTGCATTCATTAGGGACATAATTTATCAAAAGAAATAATCTTTTATTGGGAGCGTGCAAATGGATATAATTGCTCCGCTTTCAGTGGATATTCTGGTTACGGTGTTTGTCTGGTGTGTCTAAAGATTGTTTATTTGATGCTCTAGTTTAGGAACAAATAAATGCTTTAGCACACACAAACTGGATTTCCTTGGATTTTCAGCACTCTCTTTATCTAGCTTAGCGTTTTTGTAATTATTATATACTCGGGTTACTATTGGACATTGTTTACTCTGCTGTTGAGTAGCTGGTTGGTTGTGGGTCTTTTATGCATTCCAGTGGACAGATTGACCACTATATTTTGTACTTCTATGGCATGTTAATAACATCTCTCTGTTTCTCATAAAATAAAAAAAATAAAAAAGAAAAAAAAGAAACCGAAGTGAGAAAATAAGAAATTGAAAGAGGTGTTACAATAATGTTTTCCCCAAAAATCTCTAGGATATGTGGCATAGGCATTAGTGTGTGTTTTAATGCGGGCATGTGGTGTTAGCCATGATAAGCTCCAAAATAGGGAAACAAGGAAGTAGATAGATTTTTGTGTATGGTTGATAATACACTAATGGGCTACAATAGAAATAATAATGCACAAATAAAACTAGAGAATTCTAGAATGCTCAAGTGAAGTCCCCCCAGCAAAGTAAGCAACACCAAACCGCCTAACAATTTCTGAAAACTTCAAGATATTTTCAATGTATATATATGCAAATGAACGTACTGCATTTGCTGACTGACTTAACCCACATATACATTACTTTTAATTACTATTTTTTTATGACGAAAAGTTAAGTGGAGGGAGAGCGTTAACCAATCAATTACTATCTTGCAAGGCCTAAGAAATGTAATGGAAAAAATTCAAGTAAATATTATTTGAATAATTCATGAACAAAAGAACAAACTTATAGACCACAAAGAGTCACGACACAACAGATTTTGTGACCTATATTTCTATGTTGGCTTTCCCTCTAAAAGAGTACTTCTCAAACTGTTGACAGCCAATATATTGCAAAATACAAACACAGGTTATTGGTCTAATTTGTGTGACCCAACATGCACCCTTGTACGTGGACATGGCCAACCCTAGTGATCAGGTCGTTTGTGCTTATACTTGATTGGATTCGAAACCTCTCAGACACATGATGAGAGTCTCAAATTACATCTTTTAAATATTATTTTGGAGACTTTATAATATAATTTTGGCTTAATAAATATAATTTCACTTGTTGTTACATTTTAATTTGATGAACTTATTATGTGAATTTATCTTTTGTAGGAAGTTGGAAAGCCAAAAGATGAAGAGATACATTTGTCCAAGTTCAAGCCAAGTGTGAAGACAATTGTTGGCAGATTTTATTGAAGAATTGATTGTGGGATTATTGTGATTATAAAGAGAAGTAAATAGGAAGAAGAGTAGACAAAACCGTTGAAGCTTGTAACACCCCGACTCCAAATTTATTCATATTTTAATTTATTTAAGTGAATTTACGAATCTAACCGTGGAGAAAGGGTATTTTAGTCATTTTCTTATCCTGAAGGATTTTGGAACCACGAGTGGTTAGGTTGCGTAGGTGGTACTGAGACGAATCCGTAGACATGCGGTAGGCTTGAATCGGAATTGTAACGAAGAGTTGGCGATCAAAACAAGTTCGGTGGCAAAACGGTAATTATCTTGAAAAGGGTTAGAGTGAAAATCAGATTTTTCACTTTTACCCCACACTTTCTCTCTCTCTCGATTTTCCCTCTGCGCAAAACCCACCCCCCCTCATGCCACTGTTCACCCAAACGGAAACCGCCACCCAGCCCTCGAGACCGGTCCCGTTCGACTCGTCGTGAAGCCCCGAACCAGAACCACCCAAAATCCCGACCGGAAAACTCGAGAATCGTCGACGGTAACGACTGGTTCGAGCAGACTTTTCACGTGGTTGCGCTGCCGTCTTTGCCGCCCATTTCAGGTGAAAATGGTGAGGGTTCTTCCTCTTTTTCCTTGGTCTAGCTGCCTGTTGCTTACGATTTGATCGATTTGAAGTTTGGGGAAATGAATTTTGAAACCTAGGTTTGGTCGGTTTTCAATGTGAAATTCCAGCCAGTTGCCGTCCGATTTGGGCTTGACCGTAGTTGAATAAGATGCTCCATTCCTTGAGTAGTATCTAGGATAGGAAGGGTGAGCTGTGGTGTGGAGATTTTCTGTCGTCGAAAATTACTCTGCACACCCACACGCTGCCGGCGCATGTGGCGGTGTGTGGGCAAGGGTGGTGGAGCTTTAATATGTTCTGATGAGATCCTTAGGTTGTCACGAGTGCGTAGGATTTCGCAGATCTCAATTCGGACGTCGTTTGACTATCAAACGGATTTCGTATATTGTGCGTTATCTGGGTTCAATAGGTTCTGACCTTTGGATCGCTTCCAAATTAAAATATGTTGTTCTAGGCACTCTTAGAATCATATAGGATTTCGCGGATTGTGAATCGGAGCCCCGGATGTTCCGAATCAATAATTCAAAGTTTGTGGGTTAGCGATAACCGTACAAATGTAAGCTTTTCCCAAACCTGTAATCGGACCCTAGGATATCTCGTTCTACGTACACGCACAGGGAACGTGGGGATTTAAGTATTCCATTTGTGTTTTCTGTTTCGAAGTGATTTTATATTAATTAAGGGTTCGTATTTCAAAATAGGTACTCATGTCGACCGTACCCTGCAGGTGGGACCCTCGCAGGGTCGGGTAGCTTGGGATTACCTGTGAGTGGACTTTGTTTTCAATCATACGCATGGTTTTTATTGATGAAAGATTTATGCATAATGTTTTAAATGGTATTTGGGATATAATATATATTCGGTTGTTAGATTTGATATTCTTATGAGCATTGGCAACATATGCTGGGTTTGGGTATATTTGAGTACCTTGTGTATGTTTATTTGGATTTTGGGAAATTCTACTTATATTGCCTATGTACGGAGTACTTAAGTTGTTGATGTGAGTTGTGAAAAGATTGAGTTTGAGGGATGGTTGAGAGGTGTGTGAGTGTGCTAGGTAAGTACCATCCCCTGGTTACTAGGCTTCCCACACATGTCGTTGGTAGTGCCGGTGTGTGGGAAGAACATGAGATTGTGGGTCTCACACTTGCCATTGGCAGTGCCGGCGTGTGAGACACTTCCCATACGTGTTGTTGGCAGTGTCGGCATATGGGAAGAGTATGTATATTGCTTGATTCATCACACATGCGTTGGCAGTGCCGGTGTGTGATGATGTCGTCTGCGCACGTAGGACTTGGTATTTGATATGTGAGCTACACGTGTCGCTGGCAGCGCCGGCGTGTGAGCTATGGAGTTCTGTCCCCCAGTTGGACCACTCATCCTTGGACACGGGTTAGCACCTGGAAATCCTGCGTACTAGCCAAACAATCCCTCGGTTGGATTGTTTCCTCGGTACATTAGTAAGGAGAGAAGTATATGTTATATCTATATTTATATATGTATATATATATATGTATGTAGTGGGTTGGTAAGAGCTGCATAATTTTGGGAATGGAGTTGTGGTTTGAGAGTTGGGTTCAATGGGTTTTTGAGATTAATGTTTTTGAGTATTTGGTTTATGAATTGTGAAACTGCATGCTTGAGCATTATTTTTACACGGTGGGGTTATTATGTTGTTTTAAATGTAAATCTTGTTTTTGTCCACTCACATGTTTTCTGTTTTGCTCCCCCCAGATAGTAGTTGCTACTGGAAGC